GCTTTCATTTCTACTCCCCACCCCCAACTGCAGTCCAAACTTGTACAGTAAAGGCGTCTTCCTTCCTAGCTTCCTACGGATTTATGATTTACAGTTATTCATCTTATTAACTAAGTGGTTTTGCCAGGTAAAATATTAAGGCATCATTGCCATTACGACCTTGCCTTCCATGATCTCATTGGCAGCTGGTGTTGCCATGACAACTTGGCTAGAGAAACTGGTACTGAGCGTGAGTGGAAGATGATGTGAACACTGGTGTGTGTGCGACAGCGTGTGTGAGAGGATGCAGACTTCCCAGCGTGTATATCTGCCGTACAGGAAGCCAGACATTTCTTAGTCTACAACTTCTGTTTCTTCTTCCATGTTGGTCAAAATTAGCCTCAGGGATCTAAATCAATTGGTAGGAAGCTTTGAAGGATGATTTCTTTGTTTGCCTTTCTGAGTGGCAAATTGGAACCAGAGACCCATAAGAAATATGTAAGAGGCTTTCTACCTGTGGGAAATGAAGGAAGCTTCTATGCCAGCGGCTCTCAACCTGTGGGTCGCGACCCCTTTTTTCAATTTGTAACAACATGGCAATTAGGAAGGCTGAGTAGAGAATCTATACTCATTTTGACGTTGCTCTTAAAAGCGTCTTGGGCCTAATGAATTTACCATATTTATGTACTTTTCTTATTAGACTTATAAAAAGTTAGAACTGGAAGGGGCCCCAAATATGATCTTGTCTCATTCCCTTTTTGCTCAGATGAGAAAATTGATGACCAAAGAGGCTATGTGACTTGCCCTATATAGCGGAATACAGTGGGGAAGGTGTCTCTGGCTTCAAATCTTGGCTCTGCCATGTATTTACTGTGACCTCAGCCAAGTTACTTAACCACTCTCAATCTCAGTTTGCTCATTTATAAAATGGGGGAAATAGCAAGAGTAACCTTGCAGGTCACTGTGAGGATTAGGTGCTATAATCCACAATGCTTGGCATGTATTAAGCCTTCAATACACTGTTAGCCCAGGTCACACAGGGGATCAATGGCAGAAACTGGAGTGGAACCAGCTTGGCCAACTCTTATTTATCCTGGAGCCTCCCCCCATAACTCCAGGCTGTCCTCTCACGTGTGTATGTGTTACTTGTCAACCAATGGAAAGTGGAAGCTCATTTTGAGACCAGGGTTGGCTTGTCTTAAAACCTCCTAAGGGAGTGTGTATAGCATAGATACTTCTTCCTGGATATGTGTTTATTTGAGGCTAAAATCAGACACTTCGTGCACTCATAGACCAGATACTGAATGTAACTGCAAGGCACGTAGGGGAGAAAGGAGTGAGAAGAAAACATAAGGAGGAAAGGAACACTTGTGATCACTTCCTATGTTCCTGAGCTCTTAACAATCAATGCTTCCCATCATCACCAGCCCCTCATGAGGTGAGCGTATTCATGCTCACCTTATAAATAAAAAAAACTAAGACTAGTGGCTATGCCACACGCCAGGGTTCAATGGCTAATTTAGAGAGCTGGGTGTCCACCTACCCTTTACTTCAAGAGACACCAATACCCTCAATAGACTTTGTATTTCAAAACAATTCCTTGCCCCCTCTCTGTGCACTAACAGCATGCTTCCTGAGGTGGTCAGAGAGAGTCAGGGCAGACTGATACCTTTTCTATTGTTGATACAAAGCGGACTGCATAAAGCACAGTGTGCAACCCCAGGGATATAAAATATTCCACCAGCCTAACCAGACAGGCGCTGAAAGTCACGCCAGGCAGGGTGGTTTTGCAAAATGCCACTTGTTTATACTTCCTTTCATCATTCTGCCAGGAGAAAGGGCGGCGCAGAGCAGTCTCAGGGTCCTGTTCTGAGTAGCAAGCTGTCCTGGGGAGATTTATTTCAAAAGTTATTCTGAAGTAAAAACAGGACCACTGGGGGTGGAGGCGGGCAATGATCCTATGGCCCAAGTAATGAGGCCGTTAAAGCAGCTGGCCTCCTCACCTCTTATGTAACAGCGGCTCTATGTCTGGGTGAGTTGGGTAGGCCAGCACAGAATTTCACAGTCACTAGGATTGAGGCCAGCAACAAGACCCGCCTCTAATGTGGCTTTAGGGAGAGGTCAGATGTGGCCAGGGGTGTGAGTCCTACATAACAGGGCTGGAAAGGGGGCAGAATGCCCAGCCTGAGGTCTGGGTTCATGTAGGAACCATTCCCCTTTTTACTTACACTGGGGTTTATTTGGGCTCGAGTATGAGGAGGACCATGAGGATTTGGGGGAAGTCAGGGAGCCTCCCTGGCACTGCCCAGAGGTTAAAAACTAGTAGTGGACTTTGGAGAAAGGCTTCCCTCTCAGGTAGGAGCCCAGCCCTGCCTCTGTCCACCGTGTTTCTGGGCGCACCCACTGCCCCTGCAGAAGGCACTATGTACTGGGACACCGCATCAGCTAACACGTGCAGGAATTGCAGGAGGCTGGCTATTACAGTAACCCTTGTGATGAAACCCACAGAATGGAGAAAATTTTTTAACATCACAAAGCTCATCTTTTTATTCCACATGATTTTCTAGGTCACCAAGTCCTAGGAGGTGCGCGGCGGGTCGGTCTTTGCACTCGGCCATACTCAGGATGGGTCGGCGGCACGCGGCTATTCCCAAATACGTACGGACGCCCGGCTTCCACCCCAAAGGGGCTCTGCGGACGTCCAGCGCGGCCACAGGGCCGGACCTGCCTCACCCGCGTCTCCGAGGCTGGGGGAAGCGGACGGGCCAGCTCGGAGACCCGCCGCCTTCCCCAGGGAGCACAGCCCCGGAAGCCCCGGCTCTTACATAACCGGGATGATGTAACGGCGGGCGGCTCCGGGGGCGGGACGAGCGCTAAGGCCGCCCGGGGGCGTGGGGCCCGGGAGCGTGTCCGCAGGCCCCCGCCAGGTCTCTCCCTCCGCCCGGGGTTGGGGGAGCGCGGGGCGGGATGTCACGTGGCCAGCCGCGGCGCGGGCGAGCGGGCGAGCGGGGCAGGCGGGGAGACGCCCCTCAGCTACTTAGCTCGCCGCGCTGACTAACCGAGGCTGAGCAACAGCGGCGCCCAGGCCCCGACGTGGTTCAGGGTCCA